TCCCGCCGTGCAGTTCTGCCGCCTGCCCAGCGTCGTGGCCTCCGTGCCCGCGGTTTTAGTGGGTCCGGTTCTGGGCTTTGTTTTTTATCCGGGTTTTGGCCAAATAGTAGTGAAGGTGAAAGGCGTGGGATCCGCATACTTCTTATTGGCGGAACCTCGCGGCGCTGCGGGCTCCTGTGGGGCGAACCTTGCTGAGGGAGCACCCGCTTCATGCCCGTGCGTTGGAGCTTTGGCAGCCCGAGGTAAATTTCCTCATTTACCTGAAGTAAGAAGACGGTAGGAGAGAGATTGAGGAAAAAACCGCTGTTGTGGTGTCCAGTTATTTTTTGGGCAAGGTGTGAAGTTTGGAACAGCGGTAGGACCAGCACGGACGCTGCTCTGCCTCCTAAGCAGGCTTCAGTTTACAGCTAGAAATTCTCCTCCAAAGCCGTCAAAGCGTTCTTGTGTGCTTGACTTAACATTTACCATGACCCGTAGTTCTTATTACCGTAGGATGTTTGGTTGTGGTGGAGTTTGTAGGTTTTGCCACGTTTTTTAAAATGTGTTTGAATTGCCCTTTTCTAACATGGGTTAAGATGTAAACTGTGACTGTAACAGAAAAACAGTAACAGCAAACCCTGACTTGTGTTAATGATTCGACATGCAGCTCTCTCTGCTTTTCATGACTGGAACATTGGCAATGAAAACTCTTCTACAGCCTTGTTCTCTGAAAGGGAAATGTGTGTTCCCAGGGATGCACTCTTTGCACTGGAAGAGGTCCCAGTGCTGTCACAGAAACTTTAAGTTTAGAAATTATCATAACAGAGAGCAGAGCCAGCATTGTGTGACTGGGGCATCAACGGTATTATGCGAATATTAGCAAACTGTACTTTCTGCAGGTAGCTCTTTGGTTTAAATGTTTTTTGCATCCTAGAAGCTTGCATAGAAAGAAACATCTGATTAGTGTTTAAGAAGTAATGCAGGGTTATTGCTAAGAAGTTCTGCAACCTACCAACTGTTCTGCAGGTGCCGTTGGTCCCTAAAACTACCTGGGTTTTGAACTCTGCATAAGTTCATGTGTTTTTCTTGATACTGAGCCTGTACCAGCTTGGGATACCTAAATACTAGGATAGTCCTTTTTTTTTTTTTTTTTTGTTAAATATGCCTTTCCTTTCCCTTGTCTCTCAGTGAGAGTCCACACAAACAAGATAAACTGAGGGATTAGTTCCGCACGAACCGAAAAAGCAAGAAAAGGGGCAATGGAGAGACTTGTGTCTCTCCAGCCTTTACTATGTCAGTGACAGTTTTGGAAATGGAAGATTTGGAAGCTTGCAGATAGCTAATTGTGTTCGTGGAACAAACTGTGCAGCAGCAGTGCTTCACATCTGAATGTCCCCTATTAAACTAAGACTTTTGCAGCAAGTAATAGGAAGCTGTCATTAGCTCATCGTGCTTAAATATACGGAGTCCTGTTTGCTGGGATTTGTATGTTTTGCTTAGTGCTGAGCAAAATGTAATGGTCAAAGGTTTTATCCTGGGCTTGAGTGATCCCTCAGGCCACTGTGGTCAGAAGTGTCAACTTGTATCACTTGCTGTGTGTCAGGGAGAGGGTGTGGCTAGTACAGTCACATCTGGGGGCATCTCAATTGATTTGGGATGCCTATTAACATGGAGGCTCAGATTAATATCTCTGTTTTTATAGTAAATTGCCTTTTCTCATGCGGTAGGATTACACCACAACAAGTTGAAGAGTGAGAGTAGCCTTACTCTTGTGAAAGGCAGGAAAGGGAAAATGTACAGGTATGGTGTTTCTTATTTCTTCCAAGAATAAATTTAAGGAACTTTAGAATTCTGTCTTTGTTCTGCTCCTTAGATTTTGAAGCAAGTTTTATCCGCCTGATTGATAAAGTGACAAATGGCTCTCGAATTGAAATAAACCAAACAGGTGAGATCTATTTTCTTTTCTTCCTCTGTTCTGGTCTTCCAGGGTCTGTCAGTTGCTGCAGTGAAATCAACGCTTTGGCTTGACAGAGGTAGATGTTCAGATATCATTGACTGGGAAGATCAGAAATAACCAAGCTGAGAAGTTTTGTAGTAATTGATCGCACGCAAGGAGATCAGCACTCCACCATAATGCAGAGAGTTAAGAAAACTGTATTGCTCTAGAATTAAAATCAGTGTTTTGTTTGGTTTGCAGGATTTCCCTGTAGTGGGGGGAAGGTCCCTCTGAACCAGAATGGGTTTTTGTAGAAGGCAAGGGTTGCCTTCTACAAAGGCAGACTTTTGAGCAAGAATGATTTCTTAGTCATCCTCAGAAAAGGGGTTGGTTTGAGCAAGAAGCGTGTCATGTAAAAATTTGATCTGGCTCTTGTCTTTTTTTTTTTTTTTTTTTTTTTTTTTTTTTAAAGTTAAAGGATTTTAAGGATTACCGTTGGTCAGTAAAGCAGATGAGCTACCACCAGATATGCAGAGGCAGCAATGATCTCATGGTCTGGTGAAGATTTAGCTGCTGTGGAGGATAATAATTGCTTGTCTCAGGATTTTGGGGATTGCTAAGTTATCCTTTGTTTTTGGGGAGGAGGGGAAGGAAGGACAAATTATGCCCAAGACAGATAGACAGACACTCATGTGCATTGGCCCATTTATTAACAGCCGGCATAGAAATAACATGCTGGAATTGTGACCATCTTTCATAAATTCTTCTGTCTCAAATTTGCCTGTATAAATAAATCACTGCAGAGTGTCTTTGTGCTGTAGTAATGGCTGGTGTGCTGACAGCACTCTCATTTGGTGTTCTTGCTTGGCATCTTCCCCAGGTACTTCCTTGTATTATCAACCTGGTCTTCTGTATGGAGGCTCGTTGGAACACGACTGCAGCCCCAGCCGTAGTATTGGCTACTATTTAGAAAGTCTGCTCTGCTTGGCACCTTTCATGAAACATCCACTGAAGATTGTACTGAGGGGAGTAACAAATGATCAAGTAGATCCTTCGGTAAGTAATAAAATTTAAGTACCTGAGGAGGATTTTTTTCTCCCCTAAAAAAAAAAAATGTATTTGGAATAAGGGTGTAAAACATGCTGCATTTTTTTCATCCCTCACATCCAGAAGTATGCTCTGAGTCTAACAAGCATCTACTAAGCTGTTCCCTTTCTGCATTCCACTCCAGACTGCACTTGGTAATACACCTTTTGACTTTCAGTTCTGTACTGCTTCTGCTTTCTCCCCTGGAAACTCCCTCTAAGTGTGATGTGAGGCCCTGCCACTCGTTTGCTTCTCCTGTTCTCTTAGAAATGAGATGGGTTGTTTCTCCCACCCCAGGTTTGCTTCTCCCCTTTCCTTAGAAATGAGATGGATTGTTTCTCCCACCCCACACAAGTATTTACTGTAAAAAGAGGAAATGGTCTTTAAAAGTTGAGTGTGACAAAGAAGGAATCTTTCTCTTCTGTTGAATGCTGGACATAGTTACACCAATGCTGTTGTGTAGCCTTCTTTCTGTTAGAAACAGTAGTCATGTGACAGTTATGAAATTACAGTAGCAAAAATATGTAATAACTCTGATTCTTCAGAAAGATGCTAGAGGGTATGGTAGATCAAATAACTATCAGATGCTTGCCTTGATTTCTGTTACCGCTAATTTACAGCCCTCTGTTTTAACAGTGTTGTTACAAAAATGAGCTGTGGATAACGTGGGATTAAGAAACTGAAGTAATGGTTAGTGGTTATGCTATCTTTTTTTTTCCCCAAAAACCCAAACATAATGGGTTTTGGAGAACAGCACTGCTATTTACTTTTTGAATGGTGATCAGAGACTGCCTGTTTTCCTCCGAGTAGATTAAGGAAACATTGTCATCTGAAAACCAGTTTAAATTAATACAGATACTATGAAGTGTAATTGCAGATATTAGACGAGTCTCTGCATCTTGCTGGTATTTATGGCTTTTGAACTGTGCTTCTCTTGTCATTTTAAAAAAATTGCGCTCTCACCTGTGGTTCCGTGAGACACCCCCATGAGTCAAAGGATGATTGACGTGGGTTGTACACAGCACTGTCAAAGAAAAAAAAGGAAAAAGAAAAAAAAAAAGTAAAATAGGAAGTGTGTTTTGCTAACCTTGCAGTCACCGTGATTAAAAGTACTTAACAGAAAAGGTAAGTCGTAAGAATCAAAGAAGTCTCTTTTAGTTGACTGCATCTTTTTCATCACAATGCAGACATTCTTGAAGAATTTGGAGACGAACAGCATTCCAGTCTTAGTATTGCTTTCAGACACTCATTTGAGCAACTGAGCCTTGATTCTGGAAATTGTTCCTTGTCAGGCACCAGCTACACGGACTAATAAAGATTAAACAATTTAGTTGAAATGGGCATGAGAATTTGAGCCAGTTAGTTTGTGCTTGAAGGTACAGCACAATGAACTTAAGGAATAACTCCTTAGCACGCACATCTGCATTTTGTTTACACTTAGGATCAGGTACTGTGATTCAGCTGATGGACACTAACACTCATATGTGTGAGCTTTGGCCAGTGCAAGCCCCCTTTAAGCACAAACTAACTGTCTCAAATTCTTGCACCCATTTCAACTAAAATTGCTTTCACCAGGACAGGAAGGAAGGACTTCAGCTGAGTTCCTGGAGGATAGTGTGCTTATGTTAGCATTTGTTTATATACATTAATAACCCTCCAGTGTGGTGCAGTGGAAAGCTCTTTGACAGCTGGCGCCATTCTGAAAGAGTGCTGTCACCATGGAAATATAGGGTTATGTGCACTTGCTCAGGGTTGGACCATGGTGATAAAAGCACGTGAGTGATACATCCTAAATGAGAGAGAGGGATGCTACTTTGCTCGCACATGTTGGGAAGAGGTGTGGCTTTGGAGTACCAGCCTGAACTGTTCACTTACAACCTACGTTAGCATTATACTTTTCTGTGCAATCGCTGATGAGACCTGACCATGGAGAGCTTGTGGGACCAGCCACGTGGGGCTGGCATATAGAATTGGGGTAGTGGTAGGTTTCAGCTGAGACGAAGTTTAACTTTCTTCATAGTAGTTAGTGTGAGGCTGTGTTTTGGACTTGTACTGACAAGAAGACTGGTAACATACTGATGTTTATAGTTGCTGCCAGGACAGTGAAGGACTTTTCAGCTTCTCTGCTGTGCCAGTGTCTGCAGGTGCAGGAGAAGCTGGGAGGGAGCACAGCCCCAATTACTAGCCTAAGATTCGATCTTAGGTTTAGGATTGAGACCCAAATTGGCCAGTGAGATATTACATATCATGCATGTCATGCACAGTATATAGATGAGGCTCTGTCCAGAAGTTCTCTCTCTCTTGCTCCAGGTTGTTTTCTTCCAGGTTGCCCGTCTATCAGGGTTGTCTTGGTCTCTCGGACACTCAGGCTCTTATTTCCATTCCCAGTTTCTGGACTCTCCCTGCTCTGGGATCATTAGCCAGGAAGGGGCTGAGCCTTGGTCATTGGGTGGTAAGCTGTATCACTGTGTATCACTCACTTTTGTATTTATATATATTACTATTATCATCATCATTATCATTATTAATTCCAGTATTATTGTAGTTTTGTTATTAAATTGTTCTTTTCTCATTCCATGAGTCTCTTTTCCCTTTACCCCTTTAATTCTTTCCCCCATCCCTGGGAGAGGGAAGGGTGAGCGAGCAGCCATGTTGTGTAAACTGACAGGTAGTTTCAAGTTTCTCTGTATAGAGAGTATGTATGTGGGGGGTGTCTTTATGTAAAGTGCCTTTTCGAAGGGAATGGAGGTGGCACACAAGTGATAGCTTTTTTTTTTTTTTTACTTCTCTATGTTCTGTTATTCTGACAGATACATAGTGCTGCATTACCTGGTTTTAGAATAATTATTCTTAACGGTTGGGTGTGCAAGTGTTGAAGTTTTTTTACAGCTCTGCCATGGGACTTTCAACTAAAATAACTTTCATGCTGACATAAGACTAGCATATGAAGTTTTGGCTTGGGAGCAGTAATCTTCTACATTAATCAAAATTCAGCAGTTGTTTGTAATCCCAGGAAAACAAGAAGTTTTTCCTACTGATTTTCTCTCTCTCTCTCTTTTTTTTTTAATTTTTTTTTTTAAACTTACGAAACTCTGGTTTTGCTCTTATGCCTCCACCACGCCCTGACCTTGAGTCTAGGTCCTTGTCCCCAAAATATAAAACTGCATGTATAGCAGGGATAAATGCTCTTCTGTGCAGTGCTAATGGCTACACAGGCCATCTAATGCTTGCCTCTTTCCTAGTTAGTCATGTGTTGTAGGCTCTGTTTTTTTGCATCTTTGCACTAGCTAAGGGGTTCTGCAAACCACTGAAAGTTTTTTTTTTTTTTGAATTGTAGATTTCTTTAAAGGAAAAAGGTTGTTGCCTTTGTGGTGAGGTTTATCCTCAGTTGTATGACGCGTTTGCTTTGGTACAACTTGGTGTTGTGTTGTCTGGTCTGGAGATGGAGTAACTGCCCTTCAAGGGGAGCTGAAGGATGGTTTTATGGGTGAATACAGGCAGGAGACTAGAAAATATGGTTTTAGGTCTCAGTTCTGCTACCATCTTGATTTCCAGTGAAGTACTCAACCTCTCCTACCAGAACTCCTACTTGTCTGCTAAGCAGAACAGCCCTTTCCATTTCTTCAAATATTGCTGATTACCTTCTCTATTCAGGCTGCAAATTTGGAACAGAGGCAGTCTCTTATTATGTGTCTCTTTGGTACCTGGTAAGTGTCGTCTCTTATTATGTGTCTGTTTGGTACCTGGTAAGTATCATGCCTGGAATTTGTCTGAGGACTAAAAACTATGGCAAGTCTTCAAATTTTTGGAAGCAGGCAAACCAAACTCAAAATTGGTTCATCTTCCTAGTACTGGTGTAACATGCTTTCTGCAGAGATACAGCCTTCAGTCCAAAGAATTGCAAAAGTGGAAATGGAAGAGAGAAATGGTGTTCCTAGCCTACACAGTAAAGCTTTTGGTTTTTTTTACTGGTATATTTTGTTTGATAAGAAAGGGGGAAAAATACTGTGTAACTTCAAAGTGAACCAGATCAGCTTGTTGGAACTTCTGTCAGTGGTATTCACATATGTCTATGTGTGTGTGCATGCATGTTAGTAAAGGTTTTTGCTCTATAAGTAAAATTTGTGTGATTAATGAATAATACTGAGGGACCAAATTAAGGTAGCCTGGCTGTAAAAAAATATATATAAATATAAAAAATTAATCATTGACTTACAGGGTTTTTTTAATGAAGACATTCAAATATTGATACCACCATTAAAAACAACACCAAATGCCTCTCTGTAAGAAAGGAAGTGTGTCGGTCAGGAGGACTGGGAGAATGAGAACTGCAGCAGACACTTGTAGCTGCTCAGTTAGCTCTAACAGGTTGTTCACGGTTTTGTAGGTGAGGTATGTGCTACTAGTCAGTGGCTTGCACTCTCTGCAAAGCAGAGAGAATGAAGCTCGAGGATTGTGGATTCTAGCTGAAGGCATGGGAAGGAGGGTGCTTTTTTTCTGCTTCTTCAGCTGCTCTCTACTGCATGCCTGTTTCCTTCACCTGAATTTAGTTCCTCTTTGGTCATACTGTCCTGGACCTCTCTCTCCCAAGCTGCTTGTCTTGGGTAGCTCCCTGTGCTGTTGCACAGCTAAATCATTTTTGTCACCTTCAGTAGTGCTACTGAAATTTCAGCAGAGGGAAGATGACAGTCACTGTTGTCTTAGGTCAGTAATTAAGAGGAGTAATGGCAAGGAAAATCTTGCTCCGACGTGGGTCTGGTGGGCATCTGGCTCAAAGGGAGTACATGGATTATGTGTCACCCACTTCAGATTCTTCTGAGTAGTTCAGCAGAAGTTACCTAGAAGCTTCTGTTTCTCAGGAACAGATTAAAATAAGTTCTTGACAGAAGGATGAGGTTCTTCCTGCCAGCTCAAGGGCCTGCTCCAAAATGCAAAGGTTCTTGTAATCATCACTTATTTCACTGTAGGAGTTTTTTAGAAATGACAGAAGAATGTGTTCAGAGAAACAAATGAGCTGTTTTAGCTGAACCACAGTAGAGGTAAAAATCAGGCTAAGGAGGAAATCCAGAATAGGAAATTCCATCTCCCCAGTAATTTGTTCTAGCAAATTTTTTGAGTAAATTCCCCTGTCTGCCCATAGAATACCTAGTATGGAGAAGCCTTGTCTTCAAGGTTAGGCACTTCATAATGCAATGATTTTTAAATTACTGACTTAATGTAACTTCCAATAAAGAGACTGCTTTTTAATTCTGTGTTCTATAGGTTGATGTCCTTAAGGCAACAGCTCTACCCCTACTGAAGAAGTTTGGAATTGATGGTGAAGGTTTGGAAATCAAGGTAAAACAATTTGTTCTTTTCTTTTCTAGCACTTGTTGAAACAATACTTTCACGCTGCTTCACAGGGCCATATGCTTGCGGCCAGTATCTGTCTTTAGCAGATATCTAGTTTTAGGTACATGCATTTCTAAAATTGCCTCTTGTTCTTGACATGTTTTAAATGGCATACCAGCCACACAGTGACTGAGGATGTGGTAGAAGAGAGATGCAAAGGCTGTGGGTAGAGAAGCTAAGGAGAAGGCAGTGACTTTTCTTGGTCTCCGAGATCTCTGCAAGCTAAGAAACTTTCTTGCTTTCTTTTTCTCTTCAGTTCACTTGATTTCTTTTTCCTTCCACTTGCTCTTCCTGCCCTGTGCTTAGGGCTAGGGAGTAATATTATAATCACTTGCCTCCTTCAGCAGTAGAGGAGCTGGATCTGTGTTTGGATGATGGAGGTTTGCTTCCAGTTTGGAAAATACAGGAAAGAAACTTTAAAGACAACACTCTTCACAGGCCTAATAAATCTGGATGTAGAATAGGGTTTTTTAGGGTGGAGAAGGAAGCTGTAGCCTTTCAAAGTTAAGAACAGTCATTTAAAATGTGAGAAGTCCCTAGCTGCACTGTTAGTCTTTGCTTGCTCTGCCAATCCACCCCCCGTGTGCCTCCCCCAACCCTGCCCATAGCCCAGGACCCCATGTCATCCCCCTGGAACTGTCAGTCCCGCTCCAGCGACACTGCAGCAGGGCCAGTCTCCAGCTCCCCACAGCCCTGCCCTGCCCAGCCATGGGCCCTCTGAGCCAGATCCAGCCATGGGCCCATGTCCCATCCCCATCCTTGGGGGCGTTGGCTGGGGTGGTGCGACAGGGTCGGGCTGGCCAGGCCTGTTTGTGGGAATGAGTTCATTCTGATCACCCATATACATACTAACCATCAAACACTCGCAGACTTACTTCAGCAGCGTGGTACAGATTTGCTATTAGAGACCACTCTTAAGCCAAGGTTGCATTCCTGGTAAAGATGTTGGGTTTTTGTTTGATTGGTTTGGTTTTGTTTTGTTTTCTGTTGAGAAGCCATGCCCTACTGTACTTGAGAGAGAGGAGGAAAAAAGACATAATTTTTTGCTTATAGGTTTGGTGCTAAATCCATTTCTGCCTTTAGGATGTCTTTTTCTCACATGTGTCTGCATAATACCCCTACTGACAGCACTGTATGTGAAATAAAAGCTATCATTTTTGAGAAAGTAGTACGTTCTTTGTGCTCTTTACTAACCTGCTTTTTTCCTCCATTATCATTTCTAGATCAACCGGAGAGGAATGCCTCCCAAAGGGGGTGGAGAGATACTGTTTGCTTGCCCAGTGAGAAAGGTCTTGCAGCCTGTTCAGTTGACAGACCCTGGCAAAATCAAACGCATCAGAGGAACTGCGTATCCTTGTTTGTTTGTTTGTTTTTCTTCTTTTAAGCATGTTTGCAGTAAAAAAAAAAAAAAATCTCAACTTGAAGTCAAAGAAGTGTACCCATGTTGCTGAGCATGTATCCAGATACCACAGGGTGACATTACACAGAGGGATCACACAACTAGATTTCAGGACCATGTCTCAAAACCGTTGTGTTCAGAACATTGCTGTTCAAAAAGCATCAGTAAACAAGTAAATAACTTTAAACTTATTTAAATCTTTTCAGTAGCAAGAAGAAGTTAAATACCTTCCATGACGTAATGAAGCAGCACTGAAAGGAATCTTACTTTGTGTGTAAATCCAGTAGTAGCAAATATGGTTTTGTTATGCATTGAATAGGTGGCATCTTGGCTGTTAATGAGTCTAGCAGAATGTTAGATGGCAGCTTAAATCTTAGTTCAGCGTACGCCTCACTGCACACATGTGAACTGAGGTTTTTGTTGTGTTATGAAGTTTGTTAGCTCTTTGACTTCAGAAGTAGTATTGGAGATGGAAGTGGAGGAGCTTTTACTTCCACACAAAGATAAGGGCATAAAATATTGTTGTGGAGTACTCACTTTGCAAACAGAACTGCACATCTAGTTAACGTTTTGGGGTTTTTGTTTTCTTTGTTTTTCTCTTGTGGTTTTTATAAGGTACCTGTCATGAATCTGATGTCACTTTAGGAAGAAGGCAGAAATCCCTTACAGGCAAGGTATACTGAAGGTTGTATTTCATGGTCTCTAGCTCTCTCTTGAGCATCGGTCAACTTGGAGTTTTAATTTGTGATTATGAGAATCCCAAACATGCTCTGGTTTTGATTACTCAAAAGGAAAGCAGTAATGGGGGCAGGTTTCTTGCCAGAGGTGCAGACTTGCAGCCTGTTTCTCCTCTTATTTTATGGCATACCATCATAATTGTGTGTGAGAACAGGACGTTTTGACCTCTGTTTCCAACTGCGGCCTTGGGATGAGTGCAGCATTGCCAAGTGAGAGCAATTTTACTGGGTGCATGTGCTGTAGAATAAACAGGAGGCAGCTCATTGTGCTTTTGGTGGTGTTTATCGTGGTCTTTCCATGAAGAAAGTAATTTCCTTATGCCTTTGTCTGCCTCTGTCTCCACCACTTCTATCCTCTGTTTCTGTGTGAAGGAAGAATCAATGATCATGTCTTTAGTGCCATCTTTCTAAATTGATGTTAATACACAGCACCATTCTGGGCCACTTTGACTGGATTTGTTTGATGTATGTGAACTACAGGTTTTTGAACTTCTACTTTCGTTTAGGTCGTCGGGGGCTTTTTCTCAGGGATAAAGGTTTTCCTTTAGTAAGCCTGGTGAGAGGCACTCTCATTTCAGTTTAGCCATTAATTGATCCTTCAAGCCAGCAGAAAACAAAACATCTGGAAGGATAAATGCTTAGGTCTTTTATATGTGCATTTTTGTCCCTTCAAGATTCAACTGAGCAAATTTGTTCCCTCGCGGGGAGCTTATGTTGCAGCAACCTTTTATAGTCACTCGAAATACTGAGTGCACCAACTGTGCAGAAGGATTAGTTTTCTGATTTTTTTTTTTTTTTTACTTGTTTTACCCTTAAGATCTTAAAGCTTTTGGTTTACCTACTCCAGAAGAGATTGCAATTGAAATTTGTAGAAAAAAACCCTGCCCTTCTGCCAGCTGGGAGGTTTAAGTGTGTTTCTCTGCATTGCTATGTGCTTGTGGGTGCAGATGGGTGATTAAACGGGCAGAACATGAGTCTGTGTTACAGTTAGGATGGAATTTGTGCATTTGAAGATCTGTTGGGAATACCACTGAATCAGCACCTGAGTAAAAGGGCACAAAGGCAGTTCAGCTCTTGTGCACTGTGACAAGGTGGGTTGGGGTGAGCAGGAAGGTGTTAGTTTCTTCTTTCCAGGAACTGTTACCTTCAGGTGCTGAGTGACTAGAGAACCAGTGAACTTGATAGCCACACAGCACTGCAAAATAGTTGGAGAGAGCAAAGATATGGGGGGTTTTAGCCTTTTAAAATTATTTTTTTCTTTTGTTAAAATATTTGTCTTTAGTTTCATCTACCCAGTTTCTCTCTGACAGAAACAGAAAGACAGGATTTCTTGCTGCTAATTCAGAGAAACTTCACCCATCACCATATTTTAATAGTACATGAAGAGTAGAGCACGCAAGACTTCCTCCATCATAAGAAAGCACAGCATGGCAGAACAGCAATTTAAAATTATTGAACTGAAAAATTATCATCATTTTTAAGATACATGTTTACCTGGTCATAATAAGCTGTTCTTCTGCACATGTTCTGTGTCCCTCACTTCAAGGTATATCAATGAAAAGACTGTAGAAAGCACTTATGCACATATGCCTCTCTAAGTAGGAAGGAAAATGGACCAGCACTTGTGAATGGATGTATAGGACAAAACATTTTCCGAAATAATACATTGGGACCTCTTGGCCACTTTTGTCAGTCTCTGATTTATTTTGTGACCACAATTAATTCCTTAGTTTGGATGTGTAGATATTCTGTCAGAGTGTCACCACAGATGGCAAACAGAATGGTGGAATCTGCAAGGAGCATCCTGAATAAATTCCTTCCAGACATTTATATCTACACGGATCATATGAAGGGGATCAGCTCTGGAAAGTGAGTATCCAGTATTCACAGGGCACAGAAATGTAATTCTGCATTTGTTCATCTGTGAGGGTATTCTGATCTGTAATTTTATTGAGATTTAGAACGTGATCTTCTATTTTGCTGACTTTAAATAAATACTCCTCACAGGGAAAAAATTGAGTGATTCACTAAATATGTTTGTTCTACTCTTGCAAGGGGATGGAAGTTGTTTGTCTTCTTACACAAGGTGTCCTGGTTTCAGCTGAGACAGAGTTAACTTTCTTCACGGTAGCTAGTGTGAGTCTGTGTTTTGGATTTGTGCTGACAAGAAGACTGGTAACATACTGATGTTTATAGTTGCTGCCAGGACAGTGAAGGACTTTTCAGCTTCTCTGCTGTGCCAGTGTCTGCAGGTGTAGGAGAAGGTGGGAGGGAGCACAGCCCCAATTCCTAGCCTAAGATTTGACCTTAGGTTTGGGATTGAGACCCAAGTTAGACAATGGTCTATTCCATATCATGCATGTCATGCCCAGTATGCAGATGAGGCGCTGTCCAGAAGCTCTCTCCCTTGCTCCGGGTTGTCTCCCTCCGGGTCGCCCCTCTCTCAGGGTCATCTTGGACAATCTGCCTCTTATCTCCACTCTGGGAATGCGGTTTTGGGACTCTCCAGGCTCTGGGATCATTAGCCAGGAATGGGCTGAGCCTTGGTCATCGAGTGGTGAGCAGTATCACTGTGTATCACTCATTTTTACTATAATAATACTGTTATTATAATCATTATTATTATTTTCGATATGATTGTAGTTTAGCTGTTAAATTATTCTTATCTCAACCCACGAGTCTCTTTTCTCTTTACCCTTTTAATTCTCTCCCCCATCCCTGGGAAGAGGGAGAGGGGAGGGTGAGCGAGCAGCTGTGTTGTGTGAACTACGTCACAAGGAATATAATACATCATTAAGGCTATTAAAGTCAGCTTGAGCTCTCTTCAGTTTTAAACGTGTTGCTTTGAAGTGAGATTAAGATCAGAGGTGCCATGCTGTGTTGTGAAAACCAGCGTTCAAACTTGACTGTACACCCTCTGATGGAAATCGTAGTATTAAGGATGGGACCAAGCTGTTTTAGAAAGTTTTCGAGCTGTATGGGTTGTCTTCTGCTTTACCATTACATGAATAGCTGAAGGAGTGTCCTTTCACCAGCGAAGACTGGAAAACTGAGACATGAATTTACTGTACTTCCACAAATTTTGTTTGCTAGCAGAACACAGAAGTGATAGATGCGATTCAGACAATTTTACTGATATCTGTCAGCTTTGTTGTTGTCTTGTCACTTTTGGTTGAGGTTGAAGGAGTTCTGGAAAACTACCTTGTTTGTCTTCTGTCTGTGTGCTCGAATCCAAGAATGCACATTTTCTTTCACTGTTTCTGCTTTTTGAAATACTACCTTAAAGAAAACTTGCTAGGTTTGCAAGTTCACAAATCTGAAAATTGTTAACTCACTTTTACATATTTTTCCTCTTTTCCAGTCATTCATCATATTTAATATCCCAGGTTAGTAAGTCTTGTGGCTTCACACTTTTTAACACTGGTCAAAACTGCAAAAACTCTCCTTGGAGCTGTGTTTTTTTGGGGTCCTATTCTGGTTTTTGTCCATCCATAAAGTGAAAAAGTCAAATGAATTGGGGCAGAAGCATTACATTTAGTACTTGCATGCAGAGGGATAGGTAATAGAGAGGGGTTCAATTCCTCTTCCATGCTGTCTTGCTGGTACATGTGGCTTTCTGATGCTGCTGTGCTGTCACACTCAGTGTAAGTATGGTGCCAGGACAAGGAAGGAAAGGAATATGCTTCGTTGTTTACAATGCTGCCTCTGATGATCAGGGTTAGTTCAGCCCATCTGTGCCCAGCCCAAACCAAGCCCTGATTTCAGAATAAAAAGCATTGAGCTATACCCTTTCCACGGTGCCAAAAGCTTCAGGGAATACATTATTTGAGCATCTTCTACCACCTGTAATGTCTCTCTAAACAGGAACTTGCTAGTTCTGTTTTGAGCATTTGTGGCAAAAAGTTTGTGCAGGTGCCTCCTAATAGTGTCTGTACATACATGAGGCACCGGATGATTTTAATTTTTATTTAGGCAGATTGCCACATGCTACTGAACACTAACAAAATCTGCTACAGGGGGTGGCTCCTTTGAGAAGCTGCTGGAAGCTTTCCTGGCTCCAAGTTGGACGCACCTCTGGCCAAGACCCAGCCAGCAGCGGTGGTGGTACCGTCTCTGAACCCTTTGATGAACCTGCAGGAGAGACAAGAGTGGGATGTGAGGGAAACAATTCTGCACACATCAAGACCAGTGAAGAAGGAGGGGGAGGAGGTGCCGGAGCAGAGGTTCCCCTGCAGCCCGTGGTGAGGTGGCAGCTGTGTCCCTGTGGCCATGGAGGGTAACGGAGGAGCAGGTCTCCACCTGCAGCCCCTGCAGGACCCCACACTGGAGCAGGTGGCTGTGCCTGAAGGAGGCTGTGACTCTGTGGGAAGCCCACGCTGGAGCAGTCTGTGCCCGAAGGGCTGCATCCCGTGGAAGGGACCCACGCTGGAGCAGGTAGTGAGGAACTGCAGCCCGTGGGAAGGACTCACTTCAGAGAAGCTCTTAGAAGAGTGTCTGCTGTGGGAGGGACCCCAGGCTGGAGCAGGGGAAGACTTCCCCTGGAGGAGGAAGGAGCGGCAGAGACAAAGTGTGAGAAACATCTTTAGCATACTTCCTGTGCTCCTCAGCAAGTGCAGGCAGTTAAATATGCGTGAGAACCACTGATACCTTTTAATTCCCACCCTACTGAAATGCCTCTGGAAGAACTGTTGTTTTTCTGGGACTGGGAGCGTTTGTGTGTATTGGTGTTTAGGGTTTGATGTTGTGGTTTGTTGATGTCGGTGACATTCCTTACAGTTTTGGGTCTGTGAGACTATTTTAATTAAAAAGTTTGGGTGGTGGAGCCAGACGGAGTCCAGAACTGTGGGAAATTGTGTATGTGGATTAAAGTTAAGTTAACCTTATTTTTAATGGCTGGCTATTGGTGCTCTTCCAGACCCTATAAATAAGAGTACCTTATGACTTTTTTTTTCCCCTTTCTCACAACTTTCTGATTTCTCAGCAAGCTGTACTCAGCAATATGTAACTTTGTTGTAGCAAATCTTAACTCTAACAATAGCCTTTTGTAGGATCCTAAGCTCTGAGAAAAATAGGAATTTTGTGTTTCTTTCTTCCAATCATGTGTTTAGAATTCTTACATGGTTTTCATGATTTGGATAGTATTGAACTGAAAGTGAAAAGAAGCAATTGGAAATACAAGTAATGTGGATTAAACCTTTTTTTTCATTGTCCTGTTGGTGCCATGGCTATGGTCTAATCTTCCTAAATACTGAAGCTTCCAGGGAAAGAACTTGATCCCTAAAGAAAGTTAGTTTTGGTTTTGAATGTCACAGAGAAGAAACTCCAGATACCTTTGAAATGTTCATCAAACATGAAAAATAAATGTGAGAGATACTGTTTGGGGTTTGTGGGTTGCTTTTTTGGGGTTTTTTTGTTTGTTTGTTTTTTTCTTTTTTTTGATAGAGGAGTGTATTTCTGAGGTTTGGAATTTTTCTTTTTTTATTACTTTCTAAGGTGTTTGTGCCAGGAATAGCCAGCACTGTGGGTTTGGGCCAAGTGGTACTGGGTATAACCTTTAAATACTGTTGTTAATTTTTTTCTAGGGTGAATCAAATGTATAGAACAGGACATTTGTCAGCAAGTCCAGATTTACAGTATTGTCCTATGAGAGGAGCTGTTTGTGACTTGAGGAGGAGGCTGGCTGGGAGTAGCTCTTGGGTCATTACTCAGCATTTGTGCTCAAATCAAATCTACTTTTTTCCTTTCTTTCAGATCACCAGGTTTTGGCATGTGCCTTACTGCAGAAACCATCAATGGCACTATCCTCAGTGCTGAGCTAGCCTCAAAGCCTCAGGGCCAGGGAGCAGCTGTGCTTCCAGAGGAACTTGGCCAGAATTGTGCTAAGCTGTTGCTTGAGGAGGTCTACAGGGTAAGTGGCCAGTATGTTTTTTGTGTGTAGCTAGCTGTAGGCGAAGAAGGTGATGACACTGGTAAAGGAAGAGGTGGTTTGGGGGCACCCTCCAACAGGCTTAGATCAAAACAGTGAAATTATCTGATGCTGCCAGTGTTGTCTTCATCCAGGTAGGGAGTGGTTTTGGATGGTTCCATTACCAGTGTAATGATTTACTAGGCCATGTGATTTCCCATGTCCAGGAGATGTTACTATGAATCACAGTAGTGGCAAAATTTTCTTTTGTTGCTTTCTGTGTGCAGCAGAATTCAGTTGGCTTCACATGGGCTGTCACTTTTTTTAATAATAAGATGGAGTCAATGCTCTTAAACTAATGGTTGGAATGGGGCATTATCAGTGGAAGAACATATGAGGAAGAGGAGAGGGGGGACAAAAGCAGCTAGCCTCAATGCTGGCTGCTTTATGGTGATGATGACAAAGTAAAATGTGCTGAGATCTGTTGGTTGTATGAGGAACTGGCTGAATGGCTTGTTGGAAAGGAGCTAGGACAGTGTTTGCATAGGAATCTTAAGTGCATCACAGACCTCTGCAGTGTAAATTTTTTTTATTATTATTAAAATGTTTTTCCTTCGTGGTGCGACTTTTTGTGGATGAGCAGCTTTAGGTCTGACAAATGATTTGGCAATTAGCATCATAGCAAGTTTCTGATTTAATAACGAACTTACCTTCTTTTTTAGTGTATCTCCACAAACATTAAAATAAGTAACTATTAGTATTGACAAAACACATCTGGCCTTTAGGAGGCAGTCATCTACAAATTGTACTCACTGTTTTAAAAAAAAGTAATTGCTCTGAACTGAAATAACCCGATAGGACTTTGCAGAGTATTAAAAATGCCATTAATGAGATTCTGTATTAGGAAGTGTAGTCAATTATAAAAATACCCCTTAGCCCCATAAATCCCATCCACGCCTGTAGTAGGTTGTTCATCTGTGCCAATGTTACCTTTTCCTTTCCCTGCTGCAAACCCTTTGTCTGTCTGAATTACCAACTTGCCCACTTGTTCCAGTCTTCCATTAATATTTTGTCTTTGTTTATTTGGTATATGCACCATGTGGATACAGGACTTCCCCTTCTTGCCCTGGGTTCTTATATAATGGAAACACCTTAAACAAATATTCATCCTGGGTACAGTCCAGACCCCTTGCGTTTGAAAGTCCAGCATGCATGGAGAATGCAGTCACAGCTAGTGACTGAAACGTTTATCTGTCAGTTTCTACAATTATGTAGTGAAAGATAGCTATTTTTATTTCAGGGGTGAATTGTAAAATCTTTCATCCAGCCCGCCCCCCACTCTCACCTCTCCAAAAAACTTCCACAAACCCAGAACAACCTAAAATTTGGTACATTTGTTGCTTGGGATAAACCTCTTGGAAAACATCTTCAGGTAGTCAGATGATTGGAGGCATCAAAAATCCTGTTTCCACATACTTTTATCAGCAATAGGTTTTTTTTATTTCTTTGAAAGCCATACAGCACTTGACAGATTGAAACTAGTGAGGGAGTTTGTCCAGATATTATACTTTCTTCAGAATCAGAGAACTTCCAAAATGAAGAGGGCTGGAAAGGCCTGAACCAGGTAATTTTTTGCCTTAGTGTACTGCGGCCATTTGAATGTGATGAGTCGAATTCTGCAAAGCAGCAGGATAGTGAGGATCTTGGGATAGCAGAAAAAAAAAGCATTTGAGGAGGAAACGGGGTGAGGCAAGTCTTTGAATGATAAAGTGATAGGCCATGAGGTTTCAGTGTCTTTGCAGATGAGATTCTGAATGAGTGAGATTGTTAGCTGTGGCCTGCTGTGGTACTGCTGGCAGTCCTGGTAGGCTCTTTTATGTGTGGGCCTCTTCAATCCAAGGGTGACTGACAAGTGCTGAGCAGTGTACAGACTGCTTGTGGTCCTCCACTGCAGCAGCTCACAGCGGAAAAATTATTGTTAGCATTTTCGGCTATTGTGCTGCTTATCTACTGGAATGCTCAGTCCTCATTCAATATTCATTAATTCCCCACTCTCTCTGTCATAGGCAATATGGTGGCTTTTGTTCTGTAGTTTTTGGAATGCACGCTTGAATTTATGTATGACCACATGCTCACACAGTGCTAGCCAGAAATTTGGAAAGATTGGCTTTCTCATTGATTTTTTTTTTTTTTTTTTTTTGAGCTTGGGTCAGTTTGATCTAGTGTTGACCCTAGAGAGGCTGTAAAAATATGTTGCAAAGCGTGCAATGTTTGTTTAGTTTGAAGTTACTATTTTTTTTTAAGTTCCTTTGCCTAGCCTAGATAAGATGTCTAGTGAAACAGTAAAAATTTGGGAAAGCAGCGCATGGAGTACAAATAAGTTGCTCTGAACAGGCACTCTTTAAGTCCCAGTCTCCTTGCACCAACAACTCACTGAACACAGGGCTCAAGGGAGAATTTTTCTCCCTGTGTTTAGACCTTCTCTTTATGAGATTGTTTCTCCATCTGTATCTTTACCTGTAGGTACTGTGCTGCAGGAGCCAGGGAGGATTGACCAGAAAAGGGCATCCTGGGAGCATTGCGGATGATTCTCTGTAGAAGGGTTTTGGCTGTTGGGGTCACCCACAAATCTGCTGGAGTTCATTACTGTTTAAAGGGGCCTAGGGACATCTCTTCAAGTGCTTGCTTGATGTGAGCTACTATGTGAATGGTCGCTTTCAGTAAGCCTTCAAAAATAAAGAGGTTGTCTGATTCTTGGAATCAGTGGAGGTTTTTTTATGTACAATGTTGATGGAAATACGTCACAGCTAATTGGCTACTAGTAAGTGGCACAGTCATAATTACAGTGGCCCTGAAAGAGGGGGCATGGAGTGACTGGCCAGCGTTGTCTTTACAAATTTGTATGCAGTTCTTACCTAAGCTCAATTGTAGGAGGCCAGTAAGGCTTTTCCTCTTGTCTTTGAAAGGCATTAGTTATGGGAGCTCTGTGTAGCGGGTGATAATGGAAAGGCCTGGAAGAACAGGGAAAGGGTTGAATGTTTGTATCCCTTGTGATCGCGAGAAATAGGGAAGGATGCAATACCTGTTTAAGGGTGAGTACTTTAATGAAGAAAGGTCAAGTTGTTGTGGGGGGCTTGGAAGGGCAGGAGGAGTAAGGCTGTTTTATTTAACAAGAGCTTAAAATGAAATAAAGCATTTCACTGAAGGCTTAATTTTCAAGATGGCCTTACTTCAGTGTGACAAGTCTCTGCTCCATTCTTCTGAAAAAAAACCCCTAAACCTCTGCACTTCACATAACAAATTACTGACACACGTGTGTACCGCACAAGTAAGGGAGGAAATTGTGTGTATGCCAAAATATAACCAAGACTAAATCAAAACTGGGGTCAAACTCAGGAGAATAATGCTCTTTGAAACACAGGTGTCCAATACTCAGAGTCGTGATATTTTTATGTGCATGTCAGCTGTGGTATTTGTATAACACTTCAAAATGGACAGGAATTTAAGTGATCTGTGTCTCTTAGTGTCACATCCAGCTGGATCTGGCTCTGTTGTCAATGGAAACAATAATGGAGAAACTGCCATAAACAGAATTAATAGGAACTAGAAGCTGTATCCTACGTTGGTAATGAGTGACAGCTATTTTGGAACAAATGTCAGTATTTTGGCTCTGACTTTGCCCATCCCATTTCTTGTGGGAGGGTTGTTTTTCATTTTGGACTCTTGAGTAAGTGGCAGGTGGATTGAAAGAAAAAGTTGGCCTCCTTGGGAGTGCCAGGTCCTTCATTTGGCAGAAGTTAGTGTTCTGTCATCATTAGATAACAAGCAAATCACGTAACTTCCCTGTCTGGCAACTGCCTATGTGGGAATGGGCATAACAGCGCATTGCTAATGTACAACAATAGGGGGGACGACTGACTCACTGCAGCAAGAGAGCTTATGTAAGCAGCTAGGACGTGATGGATGCATCATGTTTTGCTATATTGTTTAGGACATGGTTGTCTCCATGCTGATGGAAGCTTTTGTATGAATTTGGTCATAAAAATAGATGTTTTGTTATGTTTTCAGCTTCAGAAAAACAAAAACCAGCTCAGAAAAACATAAAGTTCTCATCCAAGTGATAAAGATCATTCTGAATTATTAAATGAACTACAAATACAGAATACAGAAATTAACTGAACTACAAAGACAGAAAGTCCTGTGTCAGGAATACTCCTTACCAAACTCACCTGCTTCTTGTGCATGTTTCAGATTGGCAAATAGAGCTGATGAGAGCTGTGGCTCTAGATTGCACCTGCAAATTCTGCAGGTACCCTGTTCGCTGGAGATAAAGCACAATTTTTATCAGTCCCATGGAGGGCATTAGGTTGAGTGCATGAACTTCACTTTGGTATGGCAGGTTCATACAGTTAAAAGGGCAAGCCCAGCTGTAAGACCATGTTGCTAGCATTTAGGTCATGGTAGTGAACGTAATGAAGTTTTCCTTCGTTGTTGTGTATCATTTGTTGCATGAAGTGCAGAGGCTTTTTTTCAGAAGAACAGAGCTGAGACTTGTCACACTGAAGTAAGCCCATCTTGGAAATTAAACCTTTGGTAACTCTCCATGGGAAGGTCTTCCTTTCTGGCCTCTCACAGAGTAAATGTTCTGAGGTTGTCACATCTGTTTTCTTAGTCTGTGTATTCCAAAATGTATTTTGCCCCTCCCTTGTCTTCTTGGATGGTGCTATCTCTTAAAATGACAACAGGTTACTCCTTTCCCATGAAGATAACTGTCAGTTTACCTCATTAGAGATTAGAGAATTTGGTTTTAAAAGGATGAATTTTTAGTTTTACTCTCTCCAGACAGCCTTAGCATTAGGCCTGATCCAGGTGGAAAGTGTTCACAGATTTCATGTGGCTGTGGATCAGGATGAATATGAGGACAGTCCAAAATAATTCGATGCCATATATTTCTTTCTATTTTCAAAGTGTTTGCATAGTCATAGTTGGTAAATTCTCTCTATAGCAGTCTTGACTGAAATTATCCCTTTAAATTCACGTTCAAACTTTATAAACAAAGAAAGCCTTCCAATTCTAATTTGCATCGTAGTTAACACCTTCCACATGCAAAACAATTTACCATGCATGTATAACTTACTACAGCCAAATATGTACAAGAATATGTGTAGTTCTGCATAATTTTATGCCTGGCTCTTTCACCTAGCAATAAATAAAGAAACCTTCCCATTTTAAATATGGGGGAAAAAATGTTTTACAAATGTAAAACCACAAAAGTTAGCAGCAAGGGCTTAGGCACATGCATGTGAAACAACATTTAACTTGCTGGTTTGCACCTGCTAATGCTGAACTATTTGTCCCAACGTTACTTTTGATAGTTATCACAAAGGGCTTCAATTCATAGTCTCTTCAAACGCACATGAACTATAATTAATAGCTATTTTCAGTTGACTGCAAATAAATTCTTCAGTGCTTACATTCTGTGATGTTAGAAGAGAACAGGCTGGGAGAGATGGGAGGGATTGTTAATGTGACCTTGTTACTGGGTTTTGGTTTAGTTCTGTTCCTTTTCCAGCCTGCCATGTGAAATTAATTTGTCATTGTTACAAAATCTAGATTTTTATCTTTTTGGCCTTTGAAAATTGGGAGCAGTAATTCAGCCTTTTAAGTCTATCTTTCTCCTTTGTTACTCTCCTCCCACCCCAATTTCTGGTTTGCACAGAGATTAATTATTAAAACATTTTGGTTTGCAGGGAGGCTGTGTCGACTCAACAAATCAGAGCCTTGCTCTACTCCTCATGACCCTTGGACAACGGGATGTTTCCAAAGTTCTGTTAGGACCTCTGTCTCCATACACGTAAGTTGTTTTGCTCAGTTTAATTACGCAGCCTTGTTTAAGTTGATAGTTTTTTTTGCACAGCTGTTTTTTGTGTATGGAAGGCTTTGCCTGTGGCTATGAATAGAACAATTTATACTCATCTTCAAAGGAGACAGGTGGTGTAAGTTACCTAGTGTTTATTTCTATACATTAGAAGATTATTCCCTTACTCTTCTATATTATTCCTGGTTCTGAGAATTGCGGAGATGGGGTGTATTGTTGGTTGTTGGTCTTGGATTATATGTGTACATCAGCTTGCTTTTTGTTGCCTGGCGTACACTACCATATTTTCCTAGTGATCTCTCTGTAGCTGTGACATTGCATAGCACGTTTCAAATGGCTAGCCAAATGCTAAAGCTGTGGTTGTCCATGGGAAACAGCTTAAGAGCTCAGTTCATGGAGCTATGTGCAAGCCCAAAGCTTTAGGCCTATCAGGCCGCAGACTTCTGTGTAGTCCTTCAGTCTCAATTCGTAATAAAGCTTTGTCTGTGGCTGGTAGTGGTTCGGAGGATAGAAAAAGGCTAAGTTCCTAACATTGCTAGTTGCAGCACACAGGTTAGGGGAAGGGCATCCATTATGAAAAATTTAATTTAGTCTATCAGACTGACAAGTGATTGACTAGATCACAGTTGTTCCTAGCGACTGAGCAGTTTTCCTTTACTCAAGTGGAGGAAGGGTTGTTTATCTGAAAATGGCATCAAATAATAAGACTATGAACTGTCCTTTTTCGGTTATCATGGTACCGGTGCTGTATACGTGAAAGGTACAGTACTGTGATAACTGAAGAATGGTGGTGCCATCACATGAGAGCTAGAAATTGCCTAATTGCTATTCTCAGCCCCTGATATCTTGGAAACAACGTTCATCAGATTTTGAGGGGAAGACAGGGAAGCCTCCCATTGTACAGGGGTAAAGTAATCCCCTGTAAAGTATCCCCATGAAAGGCTTACAGAGGGTAGGTTACTAGTGTTGGAAGTGTACAGTTAAGCATGTGAGGCAAAGCAATCACTTGTCATTGTCCAGTCTTTTGGGGTTTTTTTGTTTGTTTTTGGGTTTTTTTTAATGCTATGAACATCATGCAAGAGCACTAGTTTATTTTGTAGGCAGGCTGATTTCAAATGGGTGGCTTGTCACTTCTTCCAGGCTAGGAGTGCATGGTGGGGATGAAGGTCAGGAGCAGACATCATGAAGCAGCGTTTGTCATATGAGATCATAAAATCTGAGATTCTGTGAGGATCTGTGACTCATCAGTCCTCTGAGGATCTGTTCAGAGATCACACAGTTCTGTCTGCAGCATCCCTGTGCCCTCACTAAGGCAGCTCATAAAAGGCTAGGAGATTTGGCTCCCAAGCAACTCATTGGGATGCACAGGCTTTTGAAGTAAATTGCAGTACTGTCATGTTCCACTTCATTGTCCTTGCTTTTCTCTCTTGGGGCTGTGACACCTCTGCATTAAACGCTTTCACCCTGCAGAATACAAAGTTATTCGTAAGCCATGTTAGGCTAGACTGGCTTCCCTTGTCTAGCACAATGTAGCATGAATGTGACAATTCAGCTGTCAGATGAGAGCACCGTATGGGGACGTGGTGCTTTGGAATATGTCCATCATAATGAGGAAACGTCTCCCAGATTTGTGTCTTTCCTCAGGAGACATCCTTTGCCCCTGCTAATGGCATGGGGGAAGGAGGGGCCAGAAGGCAAAACAACCATGAGCACGGCTGTCCTAAGTGGCACTGGGGACACCAGTCCCAAAAAGACCGCTTGGCCTGCAGCCTCATCTCATGCTGCAGGTCTCACAGAAGTGAGCACCTCTCTGTCGAGCTGAGCCTCATCAAACGCAGGGCGCTGGCTGTGTTGCCACCTCGCAGAGATCAGTCCTGTGGGACAGGCAAGGCTGCCTGCCGTGACGGTGAAGTGGTGTGAGCCAGGGTAGGAGCACATGAAGAAGAGCAACAGGAAACCTGGAGTGCCCTGGCCCCTGGTTTTGCAAAAGGCTGGAGTGCCCTGGACCTTGGTTTCACGAAAAGCTTGAGTGCACCTGCCCTTTGTTTTGCAAGGGTTTGGCGGCTTCAAGTGGAGAGGATAGGGAGAGGCGCAGACCCT